GACTTGGCTTTGGGCTCAGCGCTGCTTGTGGAGCAGCTGCCACAGAAGTGGCTGTTGAGTTAAATAAGAAAAGATTATCATTTAGTTTTTGAAAACAACTAGCAGCTGAAAGTGGTGAGACCTTCTCTGAATCTAAAGGCTTAGCCTTCCATGTTTCATCACAGATCTGTATTTTGGTGGGAACCTCTGACTTTGTTTAAACACAGACTCTTCTCCAACACTGCTGAGCTTTTGTCAACTCAAGGTCCCCCTTAGTCTATTTTCCTGACAAACAACTACAACACACTCCTTCTAATGTAATTTGTCTCTGTCTTCACAAATAAGGACGCCACCTTGTTTGTTGAGACAAATCTCTGTTGCTCAGTTGGAGAATTAGGGATGTTGAAGTGTAGAAACAAGTCCTTCATGACTTGTGGCATGTGTCCTCGAAGCACTACTACAAATACTAGAGAACCAACTGTGTCATCCATAACTATTGAACAAAATAGCTATCACTATAGAATTATGAAAAATGGAATTAAATTACACCAAATAGCTAGAAAAATTAGAAATTCTAAACAGGACAAGACCAAAGTGGCCACTAAAATTGAAAAAAGATCCCTTAAACAGCTGGAGAAGGACTTAACTTCAGAAGAAATGAACTCCCATCAGTGGTCAGGACCAGATTGTGATGAGAAGCCCAGCAAACGGTCCTGATGGTGTCACGACCTCATTGTCCTACCATTGGTGTCTGTAATAGACATTGCAGAACACAAAGAAACAGGAAAATGGGCATTTAGAGGGTTTAAATTGGAATTGATAGGAGTGGAATAGAGACACAGGCCTGAGCACATACGCTGCAGGTTAGATCTCCTTCCAGAACAACAACAACACTCAGATTCACACCATCAAGCTGTGGTCTTTGAATCTTTGATACCAGGTGAAGGCTCTGAGAAGCTGGGACAAACACAGCATCCTGATTTGTTGCTGCTGGATCATGATATACAATATATATATATATATTATCTATGTAAAAAACAGCTACGGTAAACAAACAAAGACTACAAGGTTCAGAGCTACGTTGTCTGTTGTATCTTTAGAAACCTTCGAATGACAATTCCTTCACCAAACGTCATGCTTTCATAGGTTTTATAGGCTTTTCTTCAACAATTGCTTTTAACAACTTAGTAAATGGGAAACAATATTTGACTAGAAATAAAAGTAGAGGACATATTTCAGCTGTAAATACCAGGAATGAAAGTCGTTTCCTGCATGTTCTTCAGCTTCATATCAGCTTCTCACATCCCTCACTACCACACTATCTGCCACACGATATCCGGCAGGTGTTCCTGTGTGAAACACGAACAGCTATTGATCTGGACGTCATGGGCTGAACTGCCCTCGGGGCCATCTGACACCACCCTGGCTGGATCTTTTACCAGCACGGCTCCAGTTACAAAGACAGGGAGCTGGCAGAATGAGAAAGACGTCCCTTGTGCTTTTCAGGGTCTGAAAAGGCAGGAGAGGGAATGTTAAATGATACACCCATGAGGGCAGGTGATTGGTTCCTGCATGCAGACATAATCAATCCTCACTCATAGTTGTGACCACAGACACCGCTACCAGCAGAGTCTACAGAATATTGAATATTTGATTTTAGCCATTTGACCAGAAAATTGGATTTTTACAGTACATCACGTGTCGCACACACAAGACTTCCCACCAATCAAATTATTCATTGTATCTCGAAGAAATGAGCACGACGTTAATCAGTGTGTACTCTGCTGTATCTCACTGTTTACCTGGTGGTTGTCATGGTGGAGCTTCGCCTGGTGTTGTAACTTTTCACAACAGTGGTGTGTGCTTCGTGTTGTGAATTTATCATCTGGGCAGTCGGTGGTATGAAGTAATGAACACAACAGAACAGCAGATGTATTTTTAGCCGTGAGCATTATCATGATCGAGGCCCCCTGTCAGTGGTCTCCCCTCCAGGCCTGTGTACTCATTCGTACTGAAACGACTGTAAGAAGGCCATGGGGCTGGCTACCCTCTGTGTCTGCTCCTCTTATCTGGTAATTCAATTTGTCCAAGTCTGAGCTGAGTTGGAGATGTAGGTGTAGCTATTTTGTGTATTAATATATTATAATAAATATAATATATATATTTTATAAAATAAACCACCTTCACTGTGTTTACATATATAAATATATACACATGTATAAATATATACACATAAATATATAAATATATACATATATTCACATAGATACACACTTGCATACATGTATATACATATACACACATACTGTGTATATACACACATATATACATACATATATACACACACACACATTTATATATGGTGTCCTTAACTTAGGTCAAAGATCTGTTCCTACTGTGCGACAGGACTCACATACTGTCCATCAGAACCGATGTCTCTTAGCTACGCTAACACAGTGCTAACATCATAATGTAGGACATAAAAACATCAGAAGAGTCTGACTTACACCTGGGAGCCATAATAAAGGGCAAAAATATTACAAAAAAACACAAACTGAATGTAGCACAAGCCAACAGATGGCGTACTAACGACGGATGTAAACAAAGCTGTCTTCCGCGTATTGCGCTGCATAACGATGTGTTCGTCCACTCCCCTCCCCAATCTAGTTTGCGAGTTTTAATGCCGTCGTTGGACTGATGGAACAAGTGTTAGCGTTTGTTGTGTTGGGAAGCAATCAGGACCAAAATGCATCACTACAGAGATGTAGACCAAGAACAAACTCAAAAGAACAGGAACTCACTGGATAACAGGACCAGGAACTGTAGGCAGGACAATGACCCAAAGTCAGAGTGAGGGACAGGGGGTATATATATATATATAAATACCCAGGGCACCAGGTGACACCAATGAGACTGATGAACAGGTGATCACAGGACACAGGTGATGACACTGATTGCATTAGTGGGGGGAGGGAGACAGACAGATGTCACACCAAGACTTGGTCTTGGTTTATGGACGTCTAAAACCGTGGACTCTCCGTATATATTATCTGAAATATTTAGTACAAAGTTGTTACAGACATTGACAGGTGTGTGTGTGTACATTTATCATACAATCCTCTACTCAAAGTACTAATTAGCTGATCTGCAGCTGATCCAAAGTGCCCTCACTCACACACACACACATACTTGTCATGCAGCTGAACTCATGTGATGGGATTATATAGAGCAGATATTATTATCAATACAGAGTAATCCATGGTGTCCTTGTACAGAACAGAGAGCTGTCGTCTCCATCTGCTACAGTTTGGGCTCAGTTGTATGTTCAGAGATGATACTTTGTTCTTCCTATAGAAAGAACCCTCATGTTGAGCTTCCATTGTGTTGTACTAGCTGTGATGAAACTGTTGAACCGTTGACCCTTTTGATGTTAAAACCCCTCCGTGTTACTGATTGTACCGCCTGCTTTTAATCCTTTCCGGCTTAAATGACACGTCTTCTCATTTGCATTTGCACGCATCATAGCCGTCCCCAGACAACAGGCCCCTGAAGTGTGTGTGTGTGTCTATATTTAGACTGCAACCTGTGTTTGAAGCCTTAACCAATGGGGGAGAGAGCGGGATGGGAGGGTTGGAGGGACAGTATTGCTGTTGAAGGCCAAATAATCTGTTGTCCAGGAGCACGGAGCAAATCATCAAAGGAAGGGCAGAATGTTAAAGAATGACAGATATATTGAAACTGCAGTCACATTATTGGCAAATCGAGACTTGAAAAACATAAAAGTAAGTCAAAGTAGCTAAAACAAGACTAGCTCAAGTATCCAAGATGGCAACAAAAGAGGAAGATTAGCTACTATTAATTCAATTAAAAATGTAATTAAAAGTTCTAAAATGATTTTTTTAAACTAAATAAATGTTAACTAAAAGAATAAATTAGACAAAGGTACGGCGATACAACTTTACTGCTAGCTAAAACATACTTAGCTGCAGATGATAATATTAGCAAAGAAATCAACAATTTGTTGTTAAAAACAAATAAATGCAAACGACACGTTAGCTGAACAGACACATCCAAGTTGCCCAGGGGAAGCACAATAACTGCACTGTGTATATGAGACATACTGTGTTGTCTGTCGCTCTGCCAGGCTCTGTTAAAAATGGACTGTCAGGGCCTGGTGGCCAGGTTGGTGCTGGACTTTGTCTTGTTGACCACAGCGGTGGAGGTGGCGTCCAGATGGAGGGAGTTGGCCGAGAAACTGGCCAGAGTGTCCCGGCAACAGATGGAGGCCTATGAGGCTCCTCACAGGGACAGAAATGGACAACTGGACAGTGAGGTACAGTACCAGAAGTATGGTAGTACTACTTTATATAGAACACACTGTGTGGTCTGACCCGTATTCCTAATCTCGCAGTCAATGTGGAAGCCCGCCTATGACTTCCTCCTGACGTGGGCAGCACACATCGGTGACAGTTACCGTGACATCATCCAGGAGCTCCACCTAGGCCTGGACAGGATGAGGAGCCCCATCACCAAGAGGTGGAAGCACCTGACAGGCACGCTCATCCTAGTCAACTGCCTGGAAACGCTGCGCAGCGCCGCCTTCTGTCCCACTGGATATGGAGACTTCGCTGTCTGATTCCATTCAGTTACAAATGAGCTGTTTATTTTTAGACTGCATGAACATTTTTAGTCTTCGACATTTGGAAGAAGAAGTCACAGAAGTAGAAACACGTTGGGACGAATTCCCCGTTTAGTCAAGTTTGCCAACAGTGGCCCATCTTTGGTACACAAAATGTTGGTTAATAGCTAAGATTGGACTTGCACTCATTAACCAGAGCTACTCCTGTACTGGCTAACAATCACAATTAGCCCTAAACAACGCCTGGAATACTTCATATTTACTGGCCCATATCTGGTACTCACTGTATAGAGAAGCCAAATACACACCAACCATACCACATTTGTTAATCAGAATATGAGCCGCATCTCAAGCAAATCGACTCCATTGATGGTCAGACAAACTTGCCTTCTTCATCTTCCCATATGGCACAATTATCCAGTCAGAGTCCAGGCTAATTCAGTTGGTCCACTGTATGACAGGAAAGGACCAGCTGTGGTAGAATACACTGGTATTCTGTACTGGCTGCTACAGGTGGGTCAAATGAAGAAGGGTTCCCAGAACTTTGCTAAAAGCACTTGCTCAAAAACAATGACTTAACAGTTTTGTTTAAGTTTGGCTGAAATGAGTTGTGGGTACAAAACCCCATCGATTCATTGTCCATGCCTTGGTCATATCAACAGTACTTGGGAAAGTAAAAACATTGCAACCAAATCAAAGAAAATCACCCGTTAGAGACACTTTTTTCTACCTCAGCGTTCTAACAACCATGGACCACGTTCATTAATTCTTTTCTTTCTCCTCCCTCTTTAATTGTTTCACTACAGACCTGCGGTTACTTAAAGCCTGTCCACTTAGTCACCATCCTTTCTTCCCCGTTGATCTCAGGACAGTCTTAACGTCTTAACTTCCTGTCTTTATCTGATCGTATCATAATCACGACAGACATTCTCATACAGAGGTTTGCCAAAAAGTTGTATTTTTAAAGATTTCTACATTTGCAAAATGGCACAAGTGGTGTGCTGTGAACAGTGTTATTGTTACCCTGTGGTCCCAACTCCCATCTGTGTTTGTTTTTCCTATCAGTAAATGTGTCATTAACAGATTAAACTCCCTCCAATGTCAAAGTCTGTGAAATACTTTGTCAGGATTAGAATGTTGGCCAACTGTAAAACATCAAACATGGTTGTTTCTGAAGCATGGACACAGGACAAGGACTGACGAAGACTGAGGGACAGACGTATATACATAGATAAGTACCCAGGCCACCAGGTGGCACCAGTGAGACTGATGAACAGGTGATCACAGGACACAGGTGAGTGTGATGACACTGATTGTACAGCAGACAGAAGCAGGGAGGTAAGGGAGACAGACGGACCTCACAGTGCCGTCTTTACTGGGTCACATTCACATTCAGAATGTGGAATGGTAGTACTTTATATAAAATACTAATATTTTCACTCCAACTGTCAGATGCAGGCCGAGGTAACTGAGAACTGTCCAGGATGTTGATGCTAACAAAAGGTTCTTAATGTATCAACCAGTGAAACGCATTAATTATTAAATGCACTTTGTTTGGTGGTGCATTAGCCAAACCTCACGTCCACACCATCTGTCTTCTGTGGGATTTTGCAGAAATAAAATGGCATAAATCATGTAATATTTTCCCATCAAATTTTAAAGGTCAAACTCCTTATGTGAGAAGAAATGTGTCAAATATTTTACTACAAAAGTAATATAATAATATTAAAGTAATTTGGGGGATGGGGTACATTAAATACATATATTGTATTCAAAAGCTGACTAACTGGCAGAAAAAAAGCCAATAATTGTAAATAGACCACAGCCATGTGTGTACTTATACACAAAAAGCAAAACAATAAAACGGTAAAAAAAACATTCCACAACGACGACACTTAATCTCGTGTGATGTCATTCATATAAAACACAACTGAAACTAAAGAAACGTCCGACAATGAATGCAGTCATGAAACCAGGATGGAACAATGACTGATAAATAATTAATGGTATTAAATATGCAGATCTGAAATGTGGCCTCTGAGCCAATAGATGGCAGCATAATCATATATTCACAGCAGGAGAAATAATAATGTCATAAATCACAGTAGATGCATTTTTACAGCCTAAAACCAACTTGTTATTTTCTTCCCTGTTTCTCTAATGTTGACTGTAACTGTTCCACGTCCTGAGGGACTTTTTCACGTTCTACTTTCTGGGTCTCTACCAAGTAGAACACCTGAGTGGTACACAGGTGGAAAATCAGCGGAAGGTTTAGTTTAGGACTCTAGATATAAATATGCTTCTCTTTTTTTGAGAATATTACACATTTGGACCAGGTCAGAGGGACGCCATTTAAAGCTCAGTGTTATACTGCCCCCTATGGTAAAAACAAGGCTCTAATGTCAGACACAAATCAACGTTTACCTACTGTGTGAGAAAGTAAAAACAAGTGATATGGCTAAATTAATATTATATAAATATTTTAAAATATATACTTTAAAGTAATATATTTTTAATATTTAAATTTCTAAAATATATGAAAAATGCAACCTTCTCTTTTTTAATTGTTGGTTCTATCATAATTAACATATCTGTTTACATCAATATTGTTTGTAAGCAGGACGTTTCACTCAGAGTTCTGTTCAATCATTGTGTATTCAGCAATTGTGCCAATATATCATTTATATAAACCATACAATTGCCAGCCATGGAACAGCCAAACCTACTGAATATATAGACCAAAGAGACTGAGAATAATATTCCAAATACCAGAAACAGGCCAGATCTCTGCTACATTTTTTACCTCAGATAAACTTACAGTACATATCGCTGTTACTGAAAGAGCATACTATATATTACATTTAAGCCACATACAGTTGCTTTAGTGGCCGAAGTTTTCTTACCAACAGTAGGTACAGTATATGTGCGCATGTGTAGATTTTAAGAAAAGCTAGCCTGTCAGTATCATTATTAGTTAAAGCTTTAGTTGAAGCTAAAAATGTAACCAGTTTGGACCGTTGTACTCCAGAGAGTCATAGTTAGTTCCTTGTGGACCATGTTTGGTAACTACAGTATATTTCTGGCCCTGTGTCCGGGCAGATTTTAAAATTTGAATACAAGACGTGGGCACCTCCAGTCTGAAAAACATTGCTTTAGTAGGCCACGTACCATTTTGTGTTACCCCTGCTCTAATGGGTTGGGTGAATAGGCTTTGTTGATAATTAATGCATTGCAATTAATTTCTGCCAGCTACAATTTTGTATAGATTTTAAATTTCCTATTATATAGAAGGAAAGCCACAAAATTACGACCAAACGCCCTTTTTTAAAAACGCATACCTAATTATTACAGTAAGTGTGGCTTTGATGGGATCTCTCTGTAATGACACTGTACCGCCAGTAGACTGAGTAATTATAAGCGTTGTAAATGTGTTTCACCAGCAGGTGTCAGACCTACTTCAGCTCAGACAGTGGCTGGTCGCGCAGCGGAAGTAGCGCGCAGTCACAGTCTCAATTGATACATTTCAAAATAAAGTTCCCACGCAGCCTTCCGGTGTGTTTACCTGTTTTCCTACTCCGTAGCAGCAATTCCTTTTATTTCAAAGGAGCTCCGTCTGAAGCAGGACATGGATCTGGTTTTCTTACTGACACTTGGCGCATCTTGACATGTCAGTGTTTAGAGGCTGGTCACACGCCACCACTTGAGTGTGTGTGTGTGTGTCGAAGAGAGGCTGTGTGTGTGAAGAGTTGTGTGTGTGTGTGTGTGTGTGTTACTACATGAGGACACAAACAGATGCAAAGACACAATGTGACACCGGACTGTGCGTAATTTACGCATTTGGATCGCGGTGCGCACCGTGACCGCACCGCTGTCTGTGATGAACTGGGTGATTTTTTTTTTTTTGATGCTGTTGGAGTGAATCCAGGGATGCTGTGGCGTGTTGTGCTGCCGAAGTGCCGCCACGCTACGTGGGGCTGCGCCCTGCACATCTGCTGAAGCCGCGGCTCTTTACGTTTTTCTCACCCATTATCCCAAAAATGCTGTGGCGCTGGTGTGTGATGGATCACTGGGGACGTATTTGAGCATCTGCTGCGGTCATACGACTGTCGGGGCTCACGCTCTGCAGAATGGGGAACAGTTTCTCAAATCTGGCTGCCTTCCAGTCCTTGCACATTGTCATGCTCGGACTGGACTCTGCGGGTAAAACCACAGTGCTGTACCGGCTGAAATTTAACGAGTTCGTCAACACTGTTCCAACCATCGGCTTCAACACGGAGAGAATCCGACTGGGAGGTGCGGGGGCCTCCAGGGGCATCAGCTGCCACTTCTGGGACGTCGGGGGCCAGGAGAAGCTACGGCCCCTGTGGAAGCCCTACAGCCGCTGCACCGACGGCATCGTGTACGTGGTGGACTCCGTGGACGCCGAGAGGCTGGAGGAGGCCCGGACCGAGTTGCACAAGATCACCCGGTTCTCAGAGAACCAGGGAACCCCGCTGCTGGTCATCGCCAACAAGCAGGACCTGCCCCGGGCGCTGGATGTCGGGGAGATCGAGAGACAGCTGGCTCTGGCCGAGCTGAGCCCGTCCACCCCCTACCACGTCCAGCCGGCCTGCGCCATCATAGGGGAAGGTCTGGACGAGGGCATGGACAAGCTGTATGAGATGATAGTGAAGAGGAGGAAGTCACTGAAGCAGAAGAAGAAGAAGCAGTGATGGCAGGTTTGAAGCTGCTGGACTGATCATCTCTATAACTGATAGATTATAGGATGGATTTCAAATTGTAGCAGATTAAACATCATGTAGCAGAATATCGTCATTGACACATTGCAGGGCTCTCGATATATATACACATATATATACATATATATATGTATATATATATCAAGTGAGCTCAAATAAAAACAGCAGTTCTGTCAATATAAAGTCATCCACATACAGTAGATGTGGTTTTGTAGAAATGTTTTAGGAGGAGGAAGTTATTTTCACATTCAAAACGACATAATCTTATGATATAATCAAAAATGACAGAGACCCTCAAACCAAATATATTACAAGATTAACAACTATCCATGATGGACGACTGTTCACAGCTTCTCTGAAGAAGAAAAATGGTCAGAAACTAAAGTCCCAGGTGTTGGGATGCTGATGTGACTGTAGTGAAGTCAGAACAGTGTATGGACCTGTAGGGGCAGAGCTCCCTGTTGCTGCCACATCGTGCTGTGCACAGATGTGAGACTGTTGTAAATGTGATTATCAGGCGTGCACTAATGCACAGGCACAGGGAGATGGCGTTACACCAAAGACGAGTCCCCTGGGAAGACATGTAAAACCTTTCTGATGTCTCCTTCCCTACTGCCGACCCCTCTGTGCTGGGAGTCCTGTCTCTGTGCGGCCACACCTTTGGAGGAAAAGTATGAATACAATTAAATCAAACAGCTGTGAAGTACATTTTTAGCAAGTTTGTCAATAAGAATGCAACAGAATCAGGTTTGTTTTGATGAGACTGTGCCTAAAATATTATTACAAGTGCAATGCAACTTCACCAGTTCCTATCGAGACAATAGAGTGACCTTCGTATTCATCCAAATCAATATAAAACCAGGCATTTATCTACTACTGCAAAGTCACTTCTAGTGGATGTCTGTAATTTGAGTCAATGTTGGAAGACGTCATGCTTTATGTTTGTAAGATCTTAAGTCAAATAGAGTCTATATTTGCATGATTATGGTTATGTAAATGACTCAATCACAGATTATCATTTACTGGAAATAAACCTTACAGGTTTATCGTGTAATGAAAGAAAAAGGAAGAAATTTGTAATGTAAAAGGGGACGCTGTAGAAATATTTACACTACTGTAGAAGTAGTGTGAAATTTAGTCATTTCCCAGAGTATTCGTATCTAGAATTAACCGTCATGTTTTTCTTTAGCTGTTAAGATTGTTTGTTTTTTGATTCCTTGTTCTTTATTTTAGTAAAAACAAACATATTGTTAGACTGATCAATGCTAATCCCATTTAGAGGAAATGTAAGATAAAGCATACTGCTAGAAGGCCACCTGAACTCCAGACCTATTCTCAGTCCACCTCGTATGCTTTGTGTTTGTGCTGACTTTATCTTACATTTTCCTCCAAACAGGGTTTAGTTTCACACTGAATCTCCAAAAAAACGTCATCTTCTTCATAAATTATACAGTCTATGATTTATGGTTTGGCCTGCTGACCCCTACTCTTTCATTGTCCGAGAGGTGTGTCGTTCCCAAGGAAGTCTTCTTTGATCCTAACCAGCTCTTTGTGAGGGTCTTCTGCCCTGAGAATCAGCTGATCCTGTCTTTACACGACACAGATGTCTGTGTCTGAGTGGAGAATTCTTAGTCTCTAATCAACGGTCCTTCCGATTCTTTTCAAATTCTTAAAGACAACAATATTTATGCAGCAGGAACAGCAGAAAGTGCTTCATTTGTAGATAATGTGATCAATTACTTGTTGAAAAAGCAATAAGTAATTTCTTAATTTTAGTGTCTTTCCCCTGTACTGTCTTATATTTTATTATAGCCAGCGAACAGATCTAGTGCCAAGTCTTGTACCTTCTGTTCTATGACATGTTTTATTATGGGCTGGAAATTAATTTGATTTTCTTCCTTCTGTATATTACATTGAACTGTCTTTTAGCAACTGTCAAGCATTTTTTTTCAATTATCTTTTAACACGTTTTAATCATCTTTATTATTTTGTTTAATGTTTGGACATTTTTTAGATATTCCTTTTTTTCTTGTCCTGTTACACCTTCCTGTATTTTAGCTGTTTTTGTTGTAATTTAGACTACTTCAAAATCTTTTTATCTTGTGTCTTACATTGGCCTTTTCCAACTTACTTAGATAACTTCTGACAAACCTCACTTCAAACGTTGTGATTTTTTTTTCCAACCACAGCATAAAACCAGAGTCTGTTGTCGTCAGCATAGAGGTATATATTTAAAATGGAGCCGATTCATACAAAAGCAGACATAGTGCTCGTTTGTTCAGCTGTTTCTCAGAGCGTTGGCAGTAAACTTGTGTAACTCGGACGTCCTGTGTGCTGTGTGTGGACCTGCTGGCAGTGACTGGACAGAGACGTTGTGGGACAAGTCTTTCTGCCTGGTGACGATGCAGAAAAAAAGCAAAAAAAAAATAACAAACCAACAGGCTGGAACCTGTTCAGCTAAAGACAGTTGTCCTCCTTTTGAATGAGACTTTGTTTGTTTTGAATGATAAACTGAAACAAATGGTGTGTTTTCAAGTGTAGCCCCCCGATAACAACCATGTCTGCATTACAGACCCAGACCCTGGTTTCTGGACTTAAACCTGGTCTTAAGTGATCAGGCTGTTGAATGTGCCATGTTGACTGATCACGTCAAAACCTGTCTGCTGCAGCTTCACATCAACAAAGTAATTAAAGCATTAATTCTAAACTAATGTCTGCAGCATGTTGCGTTTTCCTTGCGGGTAGAGAATCTCTATATTATTAATAATTGTCTTGAATGTTAAATCAAATCAAATCCATTTTGTCGCACTTGAAACCATACCCAGAAGACATGAACTCCACGTCATTTCCGACATGAATCGGACATGGACGTGGTATCCTGGTGCCATCGTCACGTTAGACGTGCTCAGCGTTGCATGACAGACATTCATTCACACGGTGTAAATTACACAGTTTCGTGTTGCAGCCGAGATACAGCAAGACCAAACAATGTATTACATGCCAAATGGAGAAAAAAAGACAAAGTATTTTTGGGATTAAAGTCTTTGCAGTTGAACTTGCGTGTTGTCTGCCTCGTTTTTTTTTTTTTTTTTGTTTTGATTTTAATTCCAGTCATGATGGGGAAAATTCCCAGCAGCTAAGTGCCACTTGTACATTTCATCCGGTGGAAGGTTGCTATTAAATATGATATAATCATCATCATCTTTCAGCAGAAAGTTACTTCTACTGAAGCTTTGACTTCAAGTACAACTGCTGTAAAGTCATATAAAGACTGTGAACAAACTCTAGTAAATGTTTAGTTTGATCTTCATTATTTCCAGGACAGCATTAAATCCTTTAATAACTACTAATATGTGTAGTAGTGACCAAATACTGTAGGAAGTTAATCATATTGAACCATACAAGTTAAGGTTAATATGGAGTATATTCAGTTCATATGAGTGAATATATATTTAACGTTTTCAGTGTGAGCAAATCACTTTAGCCTGGTCATTTGAATAGCAGCTCTCATGCCAAAAAAGTGTGGATACCCAAGCCAAGCTAGGCTAAGCTAACCCTGCTAACACACCGTGCCCTGCTTTATATTAGGTCCTATGTGTTCTGTTCTCAGGGGTAAATAGTTAGAACCACAGGCAACCTGCTGTCTTTCAAAACATTTAAATAAACAAAAGTTTAAACAAAAATAGATGCAAACAAAGGGCAGAATTCCCACTGACAAACACGTCACCACATGTGTTCCTTGACACCCAAAAATGACCAGAGGGGATTCAGAAATAGTTACCTTGAGGGGCAACTGTACGTAGTAGGTTTTTTTGAAGACGTTTCACCTCTCATCCAGGAGGCTTCTTCAGTTCTCTCTTGGCCTAAATAAAAAAAAATATTGTTAAACTATTTCATTAATATTCATATTTTTTATTTATTTTAAAACACGTCTAAATAACACTAATTATTGATTATTTGCACTTCTTTTCTTGTAGCTATGGCTACTGTTTTTTGGGGGGGGCTTCAGTCACAAACTCTCAACTATTTTTGACTATTCTCTAACATTTATTGACATGTTTCCTTTCTTTTTTGTGTTATCTTTAGCCATTTTTCTGTGAGCTTTTTTTAAAATATTGAGCAGAACCATCACTCTTACAGTCCTGGCTCCTGGTATAAAAATCGAACTGGCTTATCATAAGGCAGAGTCTTGTTTTAGTTCCTTCCACATCCTGAATGTTCCCACTGAGTCAAAAAAGGATCCTCACATCTTCTTCCCCCTTTTCAGTTTTTGTGCTGACAGACTGTTGACATTTTCTGCACTTCCTTTTTTTCTTTTACCTTTCTTTTTCCACATTTTTCCGTGGGCGGCTGCAGCTGCCTGGGCTTTATTTTTTTCAGAATCTTTATGTTAATCCTTCGCATTTCCATCTTCCCTCTTCAAAGCAGGTGCCACAGTTCTGCTGAGACACACAGAATCTGTGAAAACCGATGATAACATGCTGAAAATAAAATACACTTCAATGAAAACGGTAAGACGACACATTTGATGGGAAATGAAAATGTTAAAAAAATGTACAACCCCCACACATGGGAAGGGATTCACACATTTCAAATAATATAGCACTACAGTGTTACTATAGTAACTAAGGGTACATTTCATAGTGAGGTAAATTTGACCTGTAACTCTCCTTCCCTGGCCGGTGGGCATTGATAAGGATACTTCCTAAAGCCCAGTCAGATGATCTCGGCGAGGTCTTAGTTAGTGATCCTGACTTCTATAGAGAGTGAACCATACAAGCTCCACTCCTGAGGTCTGAGTAAACCTGCGGCCTAAATTTAGATTAATGGAAATGCATATAAACTTTAATGACCCAGCAGCAAAACTATACCTTATGGTTTTCACTCTGTTTAGCTGTAAAAGCAAAAAAAAAAACATCAACCCTAGTTATAAATGTTGGGGGAAAATGCTTCGTTTAGCACACTGGCACTCTGGGTGCATTATAATTTATATTCTTCTGTTACAAATAGATCAGACACAGCCTGGAAATGAAATGTCTTCCTATTAAAATGCTAATTCAGAAATGCGCTAAACACACACACAGTTCAGACAGAGGCTAATCCGGCTGTGTTTCCTCCTGCCAGAAGTGTGTTGGGGTGAAACCAGAGCCAAAGCTCATCTGGCTCCTTATCATTTTAATGAGAGACGGGGAGTTTATGAAGAGATGAGAGTCATCTGCAGATTAGTTCATGTTAATTTATGGGTTCAAAGCTGAAATGTGTATCATGTCCACAGAGATACTGACTTTCAGTGGCTGCTAATACATCTGCCATGCACGCCATAGGTCCAGAGTTCGGGCCCTAGTGCAGTGCTTCCCAACTGTTTCCGTGCATTTGAACTTATTTTCCACTAGGAAAACCCCACGGCACACCACCAAATCAAATTGTAACAAAGTATATGAATAAAATATAATAACCTTCTAGTTTAAAGATACTCACGATTCACTAAAATATCAGCCTGTTTAGTTGAAGACAACGCTAATATACTCAAGGGAATTGAAGAAAGACACTCACAAAGATCTTCTTCAACAGCTGATTTTTTGGTTTGTTTTGATAGCCATCTGCTGCCACCTAGCAGACAAGTATTTAATTGTCCTGCCTTTCACACTGAAAAACAAAGAAAAACCACACAATATGCAAATAATATTTTTTACAGACCAATTAAGTGAAATTGGATAATTTTCCGTGGCACACCTAATGATCTCTCACGGTACACTAGTGTGGGCAGTTGTTGGGAATCACTGCCCTAGTGGAACCACATGCTTGATGCTGTAGATCTGCTATTGTAGAAAAGTGCAGTGCAACAGGTAGTCAAAAATGTTCACATTCCTAAATGACTAAATAATACTTATGACTTATTCCTACTTTAATAATTAAAAATAGAAAACAACTGAAAATACCTTAAGGACAGTCCAAAAGTGCAGGGTTTACAGGGCAGAAGTGGCACCAGGGCCTGGAGTTTGGGTCCTCTGTTCTACACAGAAAAGAACATTTTTTAGAGCCTTAAGGTCAGTGATGAAACTACACTGCAAGAAAACTAAGAAAAAACAAATGTCAACACCTAAAATCCCCATAAGGTCAGTAAATGGAGAATATTGGACAAAGGTTAAACAAAATGTCCATCTTTGTCAATTACTTATTAGCGTATAATAAGAATGAATGAATTTTACTTTTCTACATTTTAAAAAACTTCACAGAGTCGCCAACTGGGGAGCAGAGTTAATTGCAGTCAGTTTTATCTTTAACATCAGCCGTGTGTGGGAGCGTGTCATTAACATGTGAAATTACACGGCTCACCTCTGTAATCTAGAGGGCAGGTCAACGTCTCCTGCAGCACAGGATGCTGGGTAAACAAGCTGCGATGCAGACCGATACTATTTTCTGTAATCTCTGTTTTTTGTGTCTGTCTGACTTGGATTTTTAAATCTGCCTGTTTTTCTGGTTACACTGCTAGCTAAATAGTCAAGTAAGACAAATAAATAGATTACATTTTTTTGCTAAAGTGTTCAAAGGATAGTTCAAAATGAGCCAAATAGTTACAGAAGAAAAAGCTGAGAGAAAGTTGAAGGTTAAACAGAGAAAGAGCAAAAAAACTAGCTAAATTATATCTCCAATTTTATTTTGCTAAATTGTAACTTTAAATCAACTTACAAATGTACAACATTTTGCTAAAATAGCATACCAGCTAAAGTCATTGACAATAATTAGAAAAGCTAGTTATAAATGCTAATGCTAAGCTAAATGGCTTTTGGAGGCTTAAAACAACACGTCCCCATAATACAAAGAAATGGTTTAAAATTTGAAAATTTACCAGAGATTAAAAATATATATATACATAACAATAAGTGGTTATTTTAACAAGAACAGGAACATTACCACTGAGCCAGGTAAGAGGCTTCTCATGGAGCTGGAGCTAAAGTGCTGCACTGCCTCCAAACAAAGACAACGCCCAGCAGTGCTCTGGCTCATCAGCTCCAGCTTCAGTGCAGCTGTGGAGAAAAGACACGCAGCAGCAAAACAAACAAAACACAAACACCACACTTACAGCCACAAAGAGCTTGAGTTAGCCAAAAACACTTAAGGATAAGTGAAAGTCAACAAACAAAAGCTCAAAGTTAGCCAAAAAGTATTTCAATATTTGTAGGAAATGCGTCAAATATGCAGCCAAAGGTCTAGATATGCCAAAATAACGTTAGCCAACAGCTAATTAGCCTAATACTACTTCTGAGTGAGCTGGTAAAAACATGAACATCCTAAAAACACGGTATCTGCTGATGTTTTTATCATAACATGCTCCATCCCACCAGGGAGCTGCTGTGTCTAGGTCTGAGAAAATGATTTTACAAGATTTCTGTAGAACATGATGCATTCAACATTACTCTGCTGTAAATCTCCCACAGGTCGGAGCTGACCTGATATGTTTCTGGTGTTCTGGATGTCTGAATGTCCAAAACATTTAAGAGAAACTGTGGTGTTTTCTCACTTGGCCTGTGTAAACTGTATTTATGGAGCTAAATTGTCTCTCTTTAGCTCAGCCTTTGTGGTTTTGCAACCTAATAAAGTCTCTGGTGACTCAGATCCTGAACTGTAAGTTTGTACAGTAGAGTTTAGCTGACTGCAGCAGAAAAGCTCTGCCACCTTTAAATCACCGGGGAAGTTAAATTCAAAAGCTACAATTTCCATGAGGAATTGCATTAGCAGCAGGAAAATACAGGAGGTGAAGGAAAAGAAGGAAGAGGAAAAGGAGAAGGAATGAGCATCTCTGCTCCAAATCTATTTGTTCTCAACCCGATGACAGCAGATAATCCAGTGACGCTGGAGCTGAAAATGACCTCATGTCAGCAAAGAGGAAAAACAAACTGCCATGTCAGACACCACATGTCTGAACCTTTTCTGACTCCTTCTCTTTTTTTTATTATCGGTGTTTAATGGCGGAGAACATTTTTACTAAGACCTGAATAATTATAAGCTGTTTTTTCGGTTAACAAAGATTAATGAATGTCACTTATGTACATATGTGAGTTCCGTCGCAGTGTAGAAACGGAATTCAAGTGTAAGTCAAGAAATATAAAATCAGCCGACTGATATTAGCACATTATGTAATATCTGTAAGAATCGTTATTGGTTTTTCATCCAATAATGAAAACCCGACAACGTAGTGGTTTGGTTTTGCCAAATCATGTGTTCCTTAAACATCGTTTTGGGGATAAACGGCTGTATAATAAAGTGTACTCTCAATAATCTCATACTCATACAGTGGTTTGTACAGATAAAGGAATAAATATTACCAGGCCTACATCAGTATCAGTTGATATATATAGAAACGAAAATTAAGTGTTTGGACAATATCGGCATATCGGACATCGGTAAAAAGTTAATAACGGTCATCCCTAATGTAAAATGTACATATAATATTTTATGTCCAAACAGTACGGAAGAACCAGCTGTATCAATAGTGTTAAAGTCTGCCGAGTTAGAATTTATCGACTATAAATAACAATATAATGCACATATGCACAACTATGTTGTGTCTCTCCAAAGTCTGATCTAATTAAATCCACATTTGGCTAAAGTTGCATTAAAAGCTGTGCAATAAAGATGTCAACATGTTCGCCTGTAAATAAAAACACATCAGATCCCTGTGAGTCTTTCTTTCTCTCCCGCTGTGCATGTCTCAACAACACAGCCTTGAGATTGTACAAATAAACCTAAACCTTAAGTCTGCATGGAGGAATGTGCTCAGTACAAACAGTATCACCTTCACAAGGCTGGGCTCCCTGATGCAGAGCAGAGAGAAAAAGAAAGATCTCCTGTGAGAAACACAGAGTGAGAACTAAAACACAAGCTGTGGGATGTAAAGTTAGACGTGCTTTCTTTGACTTACGGGCCTTTCTCTTCATTGAAAGTCATCAAACCTGGTGAAATAAGTGAGGGAAATTCAATCCGCTGAGAAGAAAGCGGAGACACTGATGTCTAACCTGCAACGGAAGCTGAGACAATAAACGAGAGGAGATCAAGCGGGGACAGAGGAGGTTTGGAGCTGGCAGCGTTCTTTGAGCCGTTTCCCACAGTCAGGGTCTGAGTGATGGGATCTGCTGCTTTAACACTTTATATTTTAACACCGCTGCCAAACAGAAATCACCCTTCTGTACGTGTCTGTCCTGCCAGGGCAGGTCTGCACGATCAGGCAGAGTTTTAGAATGTATACAGTAAATAGGATTACAGAATGAGTACACCATGTACTCAGTACTTTCAGTACTACATTCTCACTGTCTTTAAGCACGTAAACGGACTATTGTTATATAGACATTTATTTAAATGAATATGTTTCGATTTTCTGAGTCACAATTCAAAAGTCTGGAGTTGAACGTAACTTGTAAGTTGACCAACCCCTACAAATGAATCTTTTATGTTTTATAGGGGAAATCAATGGTTTTTAGCTCAAAGACACAGAGGCGCTACTGCCCCACAGCTATTGTGTCCAGAGTCAAAACACTGTAAAAACGTTATTGATCCTGTTGGCATCTGTTAACAAAACCATGTTTGTGAGCAAAATAAATCGAAACAAATCACTTCTTAACAGTTTGACATGTTGTCGACCACATTGTGGCATATTTATTTTGTTTCAACAAGAGCATGCTGAGTTCACACTCCCACAGAGGTCAACCAGTTTAAGTCAAACTTAGACCATAATCACACTGAGTCAGAGGAAGTCACAGGACATTTTAAAATGACATTAATAATTGTGTCAAATCATCATTTCAACACTGACCATCTGGAGCCTCCAGTGAGGAACTGTTTGGTAAAAACATTTTATATTTGCGTGAACTTCATCTACAGCCACCAGCCAACCAACTTTATTAGGTATATCTGGGTGGTCCATGGCTACACATCCCAATAAATTAAGATGCAGCCATTTCATTAACTACTGCTACTAATGTATGTATTTTCATGATCTGGCAGTGGAACAAGTGTACCAGGAAAATGACTACTTAAATGCAACAATCCCACTCAAAAGTCAGGTAAGGTGATAAGATCATAAAGAGGTTTTCATTTTATCATGAGGATCTGACAATGTTCAGTGTCCAAGAAGAAAAAGAGTCTGATAAACTTTTCTGATGTTACTGTGAATATTTTCATCTGTATGTTATCATCGTTGTCCAGCTGGTTTTATCGGTCAGGTCTTTGGAGACAGAAGACCTTGACTTGGTAATCTCCTGAGGCGGTCACAGCCAGAGACCCTTCCCTGAACAAGAACGCACAGATTAGGACCAAAGTTCCACACTCAAAGCATCACCCCCACCAATATGGTCACCATCATCCCCATCGTACCTGTTTGTGGTGAAGTCCAGAATCTCAGCCATGTGACCGCGGTATTCTGACACCATGTTGCCTGTCCGAGCGTCCCATAAGCGCAGGGCTCCGTCCAAACAACAGGTGGCCACCACAGGAGAAGACTCCTCCCACTGCAGGTGAACAATGCCGGCCTGAAACAATACACCAGGTAACTCAGTCTTTTATTGGAACACAACGTCTCTGCACTCAGTAACACTGACTTGATCATTTTGGCAAGACTTGAGCAACAGCAATTTTATAAGGTGTGCTAATCAAGCTGGGAGATGAAGGTTGACAATAAAAGACCATATCATCCACTTTTTTAACTATATTTACTGTCCACTAGGTGGCTTCTGGAAACTGTGTCTGTAATCAGACCTTGTTTCAACTCGGCTGCATTTTCCTGTAGTGAAATCATACAAGGTGACATCATTACGATTGGACTTAAAATTAACACAAAGAACCAAAAATATCCCAGGGGCTAACTTCAGGCTGTTCCTGGCCTACACTGGACAATCCAGTTGTCAATGACACAGCTGTCAATCAATCCTGTTACATTTCCTTTTCTATTGTCCTCTAAATAGGATCAGGGTTTACAAAACTCACACCTTTAATCAATTTAATACAACCCAGATTGTAAACTATGAAAACTAACAAAGTAAACTAGTACTAGTACTAAGTCGTTACCTCATGCTGGCACCTGTGCCTCAGGGCCTGTGTGGAGAGATCGTAGATGGCCAGAGTCCCGTCCAGGTAGGCCACAGCGATGAGAGGCAGCCTGTAAATAAAATTAGGATTTTTATTTATATTCCAAATGCTGTTGAATTAGACCTACAAACATGCACCTGAGTCATTGACTACAACCTGGTTGGAGCTGTGGTAAATGACAGTGGTAATACGGTATGAGGCGGAAATGAACTCACACGTTGCAGAATCCCACAGATTCCACACAGTTGGCGTCATTCTGGTCTGCTGACATACTAGCCTTGTTTACCTCCGCAGAGAACGCACCGACCACCTTCAGGTGCACACACACACACACACACACACACAGATACAAGAAGAGTGAGTTAAGGCGGCAGCCGTGGTTGGTACAGTTCATTTAATGAAGCCTACATTACTGGGACACACACTTTTCCTGTGCTGGTGTTGATGAGCTTAGCGCTGCCATCCACTGACCCTGTCAGCACCAGACTGCCGTCCTGGGTGCACGATAGGCTGGTTAGTGCCCCCTTGTGGCCATCCTGACCTGCTCAAAAAAAGAAGACTTTTTTTTTACCAAAAGTCTAAAGTTTAATATTTAAAAAAAAAAAGAAAATTATGTTGGCCAACAAATGAGACTAACAGCTGCCTGAGCTTTAATAAATTTTTTTAAAAATTCCAAGATTCAAATCCAGGAAGCTGACAGTGACAGTTTTTCATCTCTGATACTGATACTGTCGGCTGAAGATGTGGTTCTCTGTGACTGGAGAGCTTTGGGTTTAGGTATCGGATCAGACTATAATTGAAATTTTGACCAATGTCAGACCGATTCCAATCCCAATTTTCGGCTCGAGGAAACAGGATTAAATTGTGATACAAATCTGTCAGACTCACCTTTGATGACATGGATGGCGCTGGCCTGCTTTAAGTCCCACACTCGTACCGTTCCATCCTCATATCCCACTACAGCTCTTTTACCTGAGGACAATTACAAAAGAACCTTTAACATTTACTACATGAAAAGACTTAAACCCACACCATCTCATCCCTTACCGTCAGGTAAGACTTTGCCGCTGGTGGCCTGACACGCAGGACTCTCAAAGGTCTTACAGTCTCCAGACGGAATCTTCCACATCCACACGTTGCCGTCGTCTGTTCCTGCGAGCAGCACCGGAGCGCAAGGATGCCACTCCAACCACTGAGGAGAACCCAGGGAAAAAAACATCTCTTTGTTATTCAACTGTAACGTGTTGAATCTAAACACAACCCGAACCCTAAGGCTAAACTGTGGCTCTCACAGCTAATTTTGTTGTTTACCAATTACTTACACGAAACTAGTTAGTTAGTTTTATCTAAAGTAATTATTTCCTCACTGCAACTTAAAGCTATGTGTGGCTTATTTTTTGGTTGTCAATGAAAAATGTGCTATCTTTATGACAGATTCAGAGACCTCCCAGCTATCTAGTTATGTTTCTTACACCTTCTGGATATTTTCATTTTTTCTTCTTCTTCTTCTTTAATGAATGGTAAGATTTTTCAACTTTTGTCTATTTCAGGGCTAACCTTCAGCCATCATTCATTTAATTTAGAGCCTGGCCTAAGAATGTCTGCATCTGAAAAATGTATTTCTATATTTATATTGGTAAAATACTGTAGAACTCTGAGACCCTGAAAATAAAACCTTACCTCCAGATCTCCTACTTCAAAAGACCAAATTTCCTCCTTGGTTTCCACTTTCCAGACTTTTATCAAGCCGCTCATGTCACCTGAAGCCACCAGAGAGGAGTCGTGACTGAACACAGCACATGTCACAGAGTCTTTATGTCCTGTGGAAGGTAAGAAAATCAGTTCACTGAAGGGTTTGTCACTAAACAATCAATTATTCCGGTCAATTAAATGAGAAAATTAGAAAAAGAATGACATTTTATGACGTGACAAAAAGTCATTAATGAGAAAATTAGAAAAAGAATTGACATTTTAATGGACATTTTATGACGTGACAAAAAGTCATTTGGTACTCTAATGTTACCTGTGCATTCGAGCAGCACCTCCCCGTCGCTCACCCTCCAAACATAGGCCTTGTCATCCTCCCCTCCTGTCACTGCCAGGCTATTTGTGGCAGGATCCAAACTGACACAGAACACAGACCCTGGACAGAATATTTAGACGATTTCAATCCAAGTCTGGTTGTTAAAAATGGACTGGATTCATCCGACCGCTGTTTACCTGTGTGTTTGGAGAAGGTGAGCTCACTGTCGTCCTGCTCTGCCTCAGCCTCCATCTCGTCCTCTGTCTCCCAGCCTTCATCATCAGCATTTGCAGCATCTTCAAAGTCGACGTCCTCCAGGTCATCAGCCAAATCATCTATGAGAGACATATCCACAAAGAGACAGTGAGCGTCAACAAACGGCAGCTTTTACAAAGCAGCAAGACAGATGGAAAAAATTGATTAGATTAAACTTTATTCATCCCACACTGGTGTGGGTCTTTGGCTTGGTGGTGTTGATATGATGGAAGTTCAGTTCACAACTGATTCAATTCAATTGATTACAAATTTTCCATTACAAACTCTGACGTCGATATAAGCTCTCATCTCTCTAAGCTACAGCATTGGGGGTTGACTCAAAAATTCAAAATCTAAATTTTTTTTTTTCTTGACTACGATTGTGGGCTTTTTAGTCAACGTCAACAAAACCCCCGTTACACCGGACCATCCGTTACACTGTCGTTACAAACAAGAGCAGCACAGCATCATCGTTAGAAATAATTTTAAAGTTAACCAATGGTCTATTGGTTATAAAACGACTCACTCCTCCAACCTAGTTCCTGAGACAAAAACTAACACGTCATTAGTTCATAGGTGAACAAAGTCAAGGTGACAGTTATCCACTACTGACCAGGACCCGGCTCTGCTTCGTTCAGGTCGATGACTTCAATAATTTCCTCATCTCCATGGAGTTGGACGGCGTTTTCTTCTGTGTTGTCCATGCTGCTAACCGACTAAAAGCTACTTTAACAACCGTGATTAATCCGAGCTAATGCCACAAGAGGTCGGTGTTCTCGCCAAATGTGTACGAACAAATCACCAGTCTCGTTCAAAACGGCTGCTTTGTTGACTTATGGTTTTGCCAGGTTGAAAGTTGTTAGTCTGACCATCTGTCTTCACATGTTGAGAAGACTGGATAGACAGTCGCGCAGGGATGACGACACAACAACTGCCCCGCCTCCTCAGACTAATACATTTGAGTCCACGAGATGGCGACATAAGACAGTTTCCTACTTCGTTACATACCAAATGGTCCGGACTTCTTTATGGTGAAAGTTTATCACACATTGCTGAGATGGTCATAAAGATAGAGCACTGAACAAAACAAAAAATAGTCTTTTTTTCCTCTTTCTTTTATCAGTGACCGGGATGAGCTGGGGTTGAAATATTTGTTTACCATACCACATAATTATCTCTTTTGTGCACACGAACAGTCAGCCGGTGTATGATATTTTGGCAGGTATGGTAAAATGACAAGACACTTGATAAGAAGCTTCCAATCCTATACATATTTCAGCCAAAATAAGGCCCAGAAGAAGAAACTCTAGGAGGAAGTCTTGTGTCAGTGATTGAGTGATTAATCTTGATATTTCACAATGTTTGGTAGTTAAGTTTGTTACGTCAACATTACCTCATTCTACGGCCTCCTCAGCTGTCCACCCCGAGTTCTCACAGATGACAACCCACTTCCGGTGCCTCAAGTGTTGACATGATGTAGCCTTCCTTCATCGAGCACTTTGTTAACTGAGCAGTTGAGCTCAGCTTTGATGTTGTACGGTTGTAGTAGTAGTTTGTAGAAAACAAAGGTGACACGTGGTTCCAGCACAGCCTCGTGGCTACCATACCTTCACTGGTATTCCTTAGATACATACTGGAAGATGATGCGTGATTCATAATGTTCACATGTGACGAGCGGACCTGCTCTCATCTATGCAGAGTTGAGCTGTAAGTGCTTAACAGTTCCAGGCTGTAGGCAGAGCTTCCACTAGAGGGCGTTAAGTCCTCATGCTACTGCAATAACGTCTGTGAACATTTGGTTAGAGACAATCGCAACAATGCAGATCGGCGTGTTGTTGTGTAAGTCTGTATTTTTATTTTTATTTTTTTGACAAAGATGGTTGTGCTAAGTTAATGTCCTCCTGTGATTGTAGTAGTAAGGGTCTCCTGGTGTCTCCTCTATGTCTTTTCTTTGACTCCATGAGGCCCAAACTTTCCTTGAGTACATAATGGTGATCATATATTAAAATTGAGTAGTAAATACATTGAGAAAATAGAAAAACACTCAAAAAACTTAACATACCACAGCTGTGAGTTGGTCAAGGAGGTGATGAAAAGTTGAGTATTTTGGTGTGATAAATTATCAAAGAATTATCACTGATATATCAAACATTAGGTTTCTCGTCTCAGGGTATGTAATGTGCTCGTGGTTTGTTATAAATGAAAGAATGATTCATTTGTCGAAATTAATTAAATTACAGAAAATGGAAAACAATAACTTTTTACTGCTACAATTATTGACACATTTCTTTGGAAGCTCTGCTCATGGTGCAGCTAGTAAATACAGCTTTCAGTTTTTTAATTAGCTTATTATTTTCTTTTTAATGCACAGCATTTGCCCTTCAGTTATTAAAACAGAAAGAGCCTTAACAACTTTAATGTGTTTTTTTTTTAATAGATGCAAATGTGCTCCTCAGAGCTTCTTCAGGGAATAATGGATAATCAGGTTATTCGAGTGTTTCCACCTGGAGGCAAAACTCCATGTACATACTCAGCTCTTAAACATCTCCCTTCATTCCTCACTGTGTGATTGAGATATCCTTTTCTCTGCCTGACCGACACACCACGGTTGTTTTGTTACTTGTTTTTATTACAGTGGATGGAAATTATTCCCTTTAACTCCTGCTCTTTTCTAAGTAATCGGTTGTAAAGTGACTCAGCGCGGACACATGAATCATGTTCATCATCTTGCCTCAACACTTTAGAGGTGTAGTGTCAAAACTATGATTTACTCCACTGTTATTACAGAGGCAAAGGTGAAGCCGCTTACTGCGTCGTCTTAAACCTTAGGAAGTGAACATGAGCAGGTGACTTTTCTGTAAAATGTGGGGATTTTCAAGGGATCGTTTGGGATAAATGTCCATACAGAAGTCCACAGAGAAAATCTGAATTCTTAGCTTAAAGATAAAAAGGAGCTGCTATAAACAAAGTTCAGGTCAAAACTACACATATTAAAATATCACCACAAGAGATTTGGCAGTGGATTCTACCACATGATAAATGCTAAAAACAAATAATAAAATATGCAAACTCTTTATTATCTAATTCCCAGCTAAAGTTCACAATAAATATAGTATGGATTGCTACAAGTTAGTCAAATGAAAATATACCAAAAATACTTAGGTGATATTTATTGTCACAAGTTAGCAAACATCACTGAAAGTTAAAAAATAAATCTTAACGATTTCATCAAATGAAAATATTAATTATAACTAAAATATTTGTAATGTAAAGGTTAGTGTTTAACAAATTACAGCTAAATAGCCAAACATATCAAAACCTAAGTAGGACAGGAACTAAAGTATCATATAGTAAGCAAAGTTAAGGTTGTCAAAGTATAAAATAATGATGGACCAACGTACCAAACAGTACATTTACTTCAATATATTTAAGGAAAGAAAAATGTTGCCCAGATAGAGTGTCATCGTTGTCCTGAAGGCCAGACTATGGGCTTAACTATTTTACTGACACTGGTCTTGGAAATTTAATGAACACTTCACAAAGTTTGTCCACTTCAGGTTTTTCAGGTTCAGGCTTTATGTGTCCCTCTGTAGACTGCTGGCAGGACTCACAGACTGCACACTCATATAAACTTTACAGACTGCCCAGATTCAGCCTTTCCAAAATTTCATGTGGAAAAATACGACCATGTGATGATGTAGTGACATGTGGAAACATCAGCGTGTGTGTTATAAATGGATGTAATAAAACCTGCATTAAGTGAGAGATTTATGAAGCGTCTGTTCATCAGAAAAGCCTGAATGAAGCTGTTGAACCGAGTCAGCAGAACGGTGGCAGATGTTTTCCTTCAACCGTCGGCTTTAATATTTAATCAATTAAATCCCTTCCATTGTTTTATTGATGATACAGTTTATATTTACCCACACTACCGTGTACATCGAAATATAATGTCAAAAGCCTAAACTTCAGACTTTGTATTTTCTGACAAGTTACCTGCAATGTATTGTACCTGTCACAGTGGAATTATCTGCCCACACCAGCCAATCAATCAACTTCACTGGTCACATATAGTTGCCATGTATCCAGAAATTTGTGCCTCGTTTATTCAAGAAGTAATTGAACAGTCCCAGTATCCACTGTAGTAGAGCAACAGTAAGAGGATGGACAGTGGAGTCACTGGATGGACAGTGGGGGTCAAATGTGTTAAAACTTTAATGTGATTCATTTCACAGATTTAAATGTCACAATAAATGCCATTACCTTTTTGACCGCCCTAATTAAAATACAGTAGAAAAGAAGTGTTTTACTCAGGTTCTTCTGCAGTGACGCTGCCCCCTACAGTATCAGTGGTTTCTCTTTTTCGCCAACTTTTGCAATTGGTCTGGTTGTTCATGACTGGAAATTTTACCATTGGTAAATATGTAGACCAATCCCACGCTGTTTTAACTGTGATTATAGCACACTGTGCCAGGGAAGAGGGAGGGCACTTCATGTTTACCAACGCTGACCACAGATCACGTGTATTTACCAAAACTAACCCTAACTTTCTGCGTTTTCTACCTTTAAAGAATTTGTGGTCTAATATTGATTCAATGCTTGAGACTTGAAAAATATTGGATATTTTTTTAATACTGCTTATTGTTTTTATTCTCTGCGTGTTTTCAGTCGTCATTTCTAAGAACCGTCCTATTTTTGTGGTAGCTTTCTGGAACAGCGCGTGGCTCAGACTTCTCTCTGCCGTCATCAGAACAGCAGGGTCCAGGTCTGGACCGTCAAAACAACAACATTTCTGGGTTTATCTCTCCTGTGAACTGAAATGTCTGAAAAGCCTGGACACTCTGGGGCGTCATTACTCTCAGGGCACGCATACGCTGTGGCTGACCAGGAAGTGGAGACATATTCATCCAATGCTTAATGTGTGTGTGTGTGTGTGTGTGTGTGTGTGTTCTGTATCAGTAATAAGGCCTTGAAGCTCTTGCTGTGTGAAAGGTAATTACTCTACACACTGACTTTGATGGAAACTCTTAGACTCACTGGCTCGACTATAGGAGTCTTTGACTCTATTTTTTTTATTATTATTTTTTACAAGATTTTTTTTATGGCTCCTTTTTGCTCCCATTTCTCTCTTAAACACTCCAGTTTCATGGTATTCTGGAAAGATTTTTTTATCCTCCTTTTCATACGTAGTTAAAAAAAAGGGACTAAATTCACAGACGTCCATACACTTGTGTTGTCAACTGCGACTCACTTTTATCACATATTGTCACTAAAGTGTGTGTTTGCTTTCGGGCCGCAGCAGGGAAGCCTCTTTACGATGCTGAGGTCTGCCTCTTTTGTCGTCTCACTCATGTGGGACCGCACTGGGTGAGACGCCGGCTTCACTCGTCAAACCACTAACAGCCGGTTTGTACTTGTGTTGCAAGTGGTCTGGTCCACAGCCCGTGTGTACTGTGTGTGTGTGCTGTGGTCGTTTGGTACATGTCTGCTTCACCCTTCCAGCCACTAGCCAAAGAAACATGATGATATTTTTGGGACGAAAACCCTCAGAAATTTAAAAGGAACCATGTTCTATATACAGAACACACACAGAGAGAAATAAGTTAAATCTTAGGTCAACTAGGCAACATCTACACCCTGGTCAATGCAAATTAATTCAACTAACATAATCAAAGATTGTGAAGTTCACTTCATTGCACATGTGACTCTTGTGTTAATATAAGCCAGAATGACATCTGGGTTCTGTCTACGTTTCATGTCGTGGTCTTGAATGTCTTACGTTTAGCCATTTGCTAAGCTAACCTCAACTGATACCACTACCAAGGAGCTAGGCGTCCATAGCTCACATACGTCCCATGTTGTCTCTCCCTGTTGATCCACATTCCAAGGTCCTTTGTTTTTGCATACTGAAATGTAGTGTTTGTTTTGTTTCTGTCCACGGACGATGAAAGGAGTCGCAGGTTTTAGGAACTCTAGCACATCCCATGAAGAACATTAGCTAGTGAAAAAAACCCAATCCCTGGCCGGTAATAGAATGTAATTTAACAAAAACAGTAAGTTATGTGTATACGCAGTATTCTCTACTCTAAAAAATATATGTACAACTGCCTAAATTGAATTGAGACAACCCTTATACTACCAAAGGTCTAACAGAAAAGTACTACATAAAAATATTGTATTTTTCCACTAATCCATTGATATGACTTGAAAATATTCAAAGAAGATATTTTACTGTGTTAAAATATATTTCCCCTCAGAAAAAAAGCACTGATATAAAATCCTGACCGGTCATATAAAGTCAAAAGCTCAGTGAAGGGGAAGGAAACAGACATGAAATTGCTCCATGTGACAAAACATGGCTTCCTGTCCTCAGGTCTGGAGGAGAGAGGCTCCACCTCTTTCTTATTTGGAATTGCTGAAGTGTGTAATAGCTAACTGCTCACTCCAAAACATAAAACATAGCGTTATTCCCCATAAAGGGAGGACATGTGTTTGTATTCATACATACTGATTAGAAGGCCCACAGTCATGGACCTCCAGAGCTCACTCAAGAACAGCCATATCAAAGATGCCTCGAGACAGACCGCCTTATGTAACTGATGCTCGTCCTCCGAAACTATAATCCTCTGTTGCCATGGATACAGCTGTCCCAAAAGACTTCCCTTGTACTCCAAAAGAAGAGTGACCTGAATGAAAAATCACATTGTAGCAGAGCAGCACAAAGCAGTGGCTAGAGTAAAAAATGTGTGTGTTCACATTATTCTGACCTTAATGACAGTGTTGGAAGTAATAGTAGGGGACGTCTGTGCTCAAGGAGGTCCAGTTAAAGTGTCCTTGAGGGACATATTGTGCAAAATTGACATTGTCATGGTTTTTGTACACATATTTGTGTCTTTGGTGCCAAGGTTGATCAAAGTAATTGCACCACTGGGTAGCTCCAGCCATTCTACAAAGATTAAGCAAAGATATTAAGATAACTGAACAAAGATTGTCTTTACTTGTGCACGGTTCCCTGACTGCGATCACGTACAACAAAAAGCTAGCGCAGCTGCTCACTTGGCGCAGTGCAAAACGAACCTAAGCTATATTATCTGAACAATCCCTGAATGTGAGTTCACGGTGGAGACAGCCAAACACTTCAACTCTTGTTAGTCTCCATATTAGCATAAAAGTAATGACAAAGTATTAAACTGAACTACTAACCACTGCAGAACATCTAGGTTCATCATTTCTACAGGACATTCCTCCTGTTCCTGGTCTGAATCAGGGCCAAGTACAGTATATCACTGGACCACAGTTAGGTGTCCGGCGTCCTGTCGGTTTACCATACCTGCCAAAGTGGCATATGTTTCCTTACTGTGTACTGTATGCACACAAAGGAACACTCGACTGCACAAAGGTCTGTTAGAATCAGTTTATTCACTGAGTTAGGCAGAGCATGCAGTGGTACATTACCATTTAAAGGTAAAGGGTTTGTCCAGAACAGACAGTTGTATAAAGAATCAGGCTGTGTTCAATCTTTTTTTTTTTTTTCAAAAATTGTTAAAAGTTACTATCATATCATTTACACATCAAAAAACCATATACATTTTCATTAAAAGTGGCGTTATTGTATACAATATTATGTGAGGTCTTTGAGGTTGACTTGCACAGATTCAGAGAGTGAGATGTTGGATTATCGTAAGGTGTATGATTGACTAGAGACATCAAACAAGTACTGATCGTAATTCTGATATTTGTCGAAAAATAAACTGAGATTGATTTAACCTGGAATATCTTATAAGAGTCTAAAACCAGTGTGAGGCCAGTTTTATTCCACAGTCCATACATCATGGAAAGACTGAGCAGAGCAATGAGACACCAGTTAGTTCTCTCCCAGGGACATCATACATAATACTGATGTGAAAACAGACAGAAAATGTAAGGACATTTGTTCCCTGTTCTCTTGTTAATTTGTATTTCTGCAACCTTGCAGAAATACAAATATGTTTAATTAGTGTTTTAAAAGTCAAATTTAGCCGACGGCAAATAATAAATACAGGCAAAGTGAAGCCAACAAAGTTATTAAGGCTGAACCACTGTCTACTTGAAACTGTAATAAATACAACATTACAGGTGTTATGACGTCTGTTTAGGCTTACTTTACTCACCTGAATGACACCTTGACACAAATCCGGGTCTTAAATGGAGTTTAATCATGTTTCAACAGCTTCTCCAAGTCTGTGTGTTGGCTTCATTCATTCAGGCCCACAGTCTGATCCTCCCATACTGTCTACGTGCACCTCACTGAGACATCAGAGCCAGGCCCGAGGCTGTCAGAGTAAACCTACCACCTGCACACCGTGGAAAGTAACACTTTCTCTTATAGGAATTTGGTTTGGATATTACAGTAACGGAGTGATCTTGGCCGTGCCAGTGGGTGGCTGCTGACCTGCAAAATCGAATATAAAGTCATGGATATAAAATCAAGGTGGTGAAGAAGACCTGAATATATATTTTAGTTTTTTAGATTTGAAATAAGTGTTGTACATTGTTACCACGTAAATCCTGCAGTATGATAGAGTGGAATGGATAAAACTGAAATGAAAATACATTTAAAAAGTCTGACTACGTCAAATAACAAAAAGCACAATGGGAGAGTAAAGACATAATCATAAATGATGAAGAGACACTACAGGCTGTATTAATGGGATGATGAAGCACAAAATAAATAAAAAAACTCCCAATGACCCTGAATGGAAAACCCTTAATATAAACAGAGTGGAATTATTTAGATTTATAATGTAAAACAAATTTGGACTCCAGAGCACAATAATTACAAAATCAAATAAGAATGCAGCAGTAAAGATATTAAAAACTCATTATTGTCCACCATAGACATATATGGTCCCTATAAGATTATTATAGGCCGTACTTGAACAAGACCAGCTGCATTATGGATAATTACGGTGTGTCTCTTTCCATATAGGGCAACCTCCAGAGGCCTATGAACCCAATAATGGCACAATCATTTTTACTCATCCAGCTCTGCACACGCTCACACACATATCTAGTAATGTTTCTACATCCAATACCCAGTCTGGACACATATAGTATCACGCATTGATATAATAAATCTGAGCAAATGCGAATGGTCCCGTAGCTGATATATTAGTCATACAACAGACTACACAGTGGTTGTTGATGTAATCTGACAACAAGATCAGCTGTTTTGTTTCAGCCTTTTGTCCTGCTTTGGAATCCATACTTGGATGGAGAATTACTGCACATCATTGCACTAAATGACAAATAAGGTGCTGTCTTTATTTATTTTTATTTAAATTCGATCATAGAATCCGGTAACTGTCATTTGGAGTACTTACAGACAAGTGATTTGACTTGGTCCGAGCACAGATATTTATTTCTGCCTCTTGACTACTCAAATCTTTAATTGTGTTGAATGAAAATCGAAAAACAACAGGCTCCAACTGCCGTTTTGACTTGTCTAAATGTAATCACGTCCATTCAAATTCATGAGGTGAAAGAAATGTAACGTGTAGACAGTCAAATGTTGTCATTAGCTTATACACACACACACACACACACTAACTTGTAGATTTGTACAGTGCTGTTGTAGTAGTAGAGCAGCAGATGATGACACTTTCATCAGGCTCAAACTCCGCCTCCACTGAATGCAGGCAGGGACGCTCCTCCATGTGACGCTGAGGGCTGTAAGAAAAATCCAGTATGGCGGACTCTGTCAGCAGATGAAATTTTTGTTGTGTTGTCTTCTCCTCCTCCTCCTCCTCCTTCTTCCTGCTGCACTGTGAGAGAAACAAACCCCCCTCAGAGAAGAAGATGGGAGAGCAATAAGGAGCATGTTGGGACGGCTGTAGGTGAGAAGCTGCTGCTGCTGTGAAGCTGATGTTCAAATCCAGACAGGGATGCGAACCACACACTCACGCACACACACACACACACACACACATACGGTTCATCATCAAAACAATGTCCTCCTGAAGTTTCCACACTTCTCTTATCGGCCTGTGCCTTTCCGGTTCACTTTTTAATTCAAATTTAAACCAGATATGGTGCATTTTTCCATATCAATCGCGCGGCTTGTGTTTCCCTGTCCGATTTTATTGCACTGTTTGCGGGCGGGAATGTTAAGCCGACGTCTATTATTCCGATGGTTGTTACACTATGTTGTCGGGGCTTGAACCTAACCTCGGCCCTTACCGCAGTGAACACAGTGTTTAGACTGTGTTATATATGTGTCACTGTTAAAAGAGAAAGGGTTAAAGAGACACGGGCCTGCGTGTGTGTGTGTGTGTGTGTGTGTCAAGGTAGTGGTTCGGGATGGGCGGTGGTACTTCTCTGCATGCGTCAATCTTTTTCTGTGCATGTACGTGAACGCATCATGACGGCTGAATAACAATCGAAGCAAGTCGAACGATAACTAAAAGTTTAAACTAAATATCAACAGCAAGCCTACGACAAAAAACTTAGTCAATATAGTATACGTATATATCGACACGTTGAGCCCAAAATGTAAACACAAAAACACAAAACGAACGTGTTATAAAGTTAATAGATATTGTATACTGGTATATAGCAAGTCATTAGCTCTTTTCTTTGGTCAAATTACCTGAAAATGACACAGTAGCAATAGTTAGTTAAAGATACATGTGTGTCCATTAATTGCAAAAAACTATAGGGTAAATGTAAATATGTAATATGTAAAAAGAAACTTAGTATCTCAATTTTCTCAATTCTCTCAATTTTCAATAGAATTCAAACATAATTACATATAAAAAGGAGCTGAAACATTGGTAATTTGTTGAACTTTTTTGTAATCATCACTTTGACTTGGGGACTGTAGACTCTTCTTAGCTGTAGATTCAGTCAGGGTTTGGTACAGTGGCTACACAATGTTTTATTATTCAACCAAATCCTGTAATATTTAATCCTGTTTGTATTGAATTTTTGAAAAAAGCATTCAGCTGCATTTGATAATGCTGCCCCTCCAGTCTGCCACAGGTTCAACCCATCTATAATTTGTCATTATATCTTCACTTGGGGCTTCAGGACATGTCCCCACTGATCTGCCCCTCCCTTCATCTCACTAGCTCATTTTATTGATAATGGTCTCACAAACGCACACAGACGGGTACCCCTGTCTTGATGAAATGCCCTGGGAGAGTTGAGTTGCATGTAGCCCTCCCTGTTCCCCCCAGCTTATTCCAGTGACACACTCTGTTGTGCCCACTCTCTGCTCCCTCCAACCTTTTTGTCTCCATCACAAAGCACCAGAGTGCTTTAACTGTGCACTGACCGAGTTTTTCTTTGGACGGGGGGGTACAGGGGTCTGGGTAATTTGTCCCGAGGCTGCGCCGGTCTGCCACTTTCGTCTTAATGCTCCCCCCTCGTCGCCCCCTGCCCCACACTCTAACACATGCACGCATCCTGCTGCGGATGACCCTGTGGGACCTCTGTCAGCACACACAGGGGTGTGAACATGCACAGATCTACCGCCCCTCCTTCTTACCTCCCCATCATCGTCCCCATTACCCACCTCACCCTTGGGCAGTTAAGTCCCCTCTTATTTGTGGTAGTATACGCTGGACTTGATGCTCTGGGCTTGAGCTGTGATTACATCTGACACTTGTGCTGCAGGCTGAAGGATGTCAGGCTCTCAATGAAACGAAAGAAAAGACCAATCACTTGTTTCCAGGATCGGTCTAAAGACTAATCAGCTACCTAGACAAACATCATCCTGAAAACTATTTTTAAATTCATTTTTCTGCTACTTTAATTGTTTTAAAGGTATCATGTGGGAAACAAATAGTATAAAATGTAATACAAAATTAAACTTGTACAGTACTACGACCTGTCATAATGGTTCAAGTTTGTGTGAAGCTTTAGGATGTTAAATTTATCTAATATAAAATAGACCAGTTGGTGGCAGTAATGAAACCCAAAGGATACCAAGCTGACTCTCTTACACAGGGTTAGCTTAGCAGAGTCTCTGCGTGAGGTGTGAGAAATAATGATTTTCCATTGTGTCGCTATTGTCTCCTAAACGTTTATTAATAACTTAGAAAAGTCTATAATTAAGTTATAAAAAAACTCTTGTTCATTATGTGAACATGGTTAAACCAATCCGGTGGTGAGATGTCTTACCCTCAAAACATATCTCATCACGTGAACAAATTGGCAAAGGAAATATAACAGGTGTATCCACAGCGGTATCCAGAAAGTCATTTCTTTATATAAACTTCTTATTTATTTCTTATTATTTCTTAAATAAAACACTTTAATGTATACAGTTATACAGATAACAAGGGAGTTGCAGAGTGTACAGCCCTACAGATCAGTAGGAGCTCTGCACTATAGCGCATTGTCATAGGCAGAACATTAAAAACAATAGTGTCATCATACAAATTTAAATAATAATAATTTGTGGAGCTTTATTTTGCAATTAATAAATCAACACATCTTATTTTAAACCTGTAAAATAAAAAGTAATGTGTTAAAACATTTGCTAAGTATCAGGGTTTTGTTAGGTGGAGTGTTTCTCTGTGTTCTTTTTGGAAAATAAATGGTCTGATCAAAGATCAGTAATCCCTCTAATTGTATAGTGTTTAAAAATTGATTAAATAATAATTGCACAGTGTACTAGCTTAGTAAACTCTTTTTGTTTAAGAACAAATCTTTAAAGACACTTTCAGTGTGCTTTTTATATCCTGTGAGCAGGTTCTAATATTTCACATGACATGTCGTAGGCCAACATTGAATAACTATGTGTTGTATGCTACGGCATCATCATAAAGTATGAAACACAGGGACCTCAGAAATCTGAGAAATATGTTCTTTCTGTGACCTTCTCTCCTCAGGTTGGCACCAGTGTCAGACGTTAAATCTGCCCTGATTGGACCAACTGTATCTAAAGCCTGATGGGGATTGGCTGCTGGATGTCCGCTTCCTGTGTCCTGCTTTGAGGAGATTCTAGACAGACAGACACATATACTGATATAAAAACGGAGTTTGCAGTGGACGCATGTTGAATGCACCACTGGCGATGACGTCACACAGCCACCAAGGTAATGCTTTTAGTATTTTTTTGTGCGGGGAAATGAATAATGTTGATACAAATTTGCAATTGCAACAGTTATGAGGGAAGGAGAAGTTTTTTTTTTTTTACAAATCGAATGAAATTTGTCTGTAAAAACACTTAGTCTAAACTTCACATCATGAATAAAAATCAAGTGCAACCTTTTGCACTTATTTGTGCGATCTGATTTAAATATGAAGAATTGTTCCTAACAGTTAATACACAGTATAATGTGCATGTGTCAGATCCTCTTTACTATGCAGCTGTTATTAATCTTATGAGGAAAAAACATACATAAATAAATAATAATAATTGGTCTACGTCAATACAAAAAGGTCAATAATTCATTCATTGATGTATTGCCAGTGGTTATTGGTATACTCCATGTTTACCACAGCAGCTAAAAATGTTTTTTTTGTATTTTGACAGCAAAGATAATCGGCACAGGCACAACTAGTGGTTGTGGATTGATGGATGGGAAAGTTTGGGTTGTGGCTTTGACATTTGCTCATACATCTGTAGGTAGTGCCAGAAAACGGCTAGTTTGCCAGTGAGTGAGAACCAGACCACCACATTTAAATATTTTTTGGGCTAACAGATTTTAATTTTTTTCTGCTCCTGAGCTTGGGCACTGAGGAAACACTCCATCACTGCTGCTGATGAAACATACTGGGAATCTCCAGCATGATTTGTAACTGTCATGTGTACAGTAATGAGGATTGAGCTCCTCCGCTTGGCCACATTAAGATAAATCTCTCTGCTCTGCTGCCTGATCTGCTTCTACTGATAGGTGCAAACATTTTGTTCAGCAACATGTGCAGATCGCAGCTCGCTAAAATGCAATAAAACATTTTAATATGGTCTTATGGCCGCTAATTTGCCTGATTCAATATGAATGAGCTCTGCGGGGCGAGAGAGAAAGTCCATAACACAGGCTCATTAAAAGAGTGTTTTGTCTTTGACACCTAATCAGGCTTACCTTAGAAGAAGACGCTCTTGCTTTTTTACACAGCTGGTAAATATTGTGGTTACTCAATAATGACAAAATAGTTATCGTAGCGCCTTGGTGGCTCATATACCTGACAGTGTTGTAGTGTGTTTGTCTTGTACACCAGGGATTGTGTATTCACTATCAATGCCAGGGCTGTTGATCAATGCACTGACCCAAGGGGCACGAGTGAGCAGCAGCTTCAGCCGCTGCGCTCAGAACCTCCAGAATCTCTATCATCAGGTAGACCTTACCTGATCCTTAACTATCAGATGTCATGTGACATGCTAACATGTTAAAAGCTGTTGCTTTTAAAACTAAACTCTAACCTTCTGCCAGTGGACCGCTGCCACCCCTAAAATTAATAGCTTGGAAAATTTGTCATTCTAAAAAACATACTGACTCCATACTCCTAGCCTTAACTCTACAACACAACAGACAGAACACACACCATTGTATCTGACCAGAACCACTGCTTATTGATGTAGTTAGTGTATATATCGTCAATCTCCAGTCATCTTCCCTGCTGAAGGTGACATTGGTCAGAAGGTGGAGAACATTCTGGTCCAGACCACTAAAGCCCCAAATCTGTTCAGAACTTCCAAAGCGCACACACAAACACACATGGAAGTTTCTTTTAGGATTTAATTTGTGGTAAATATGATACAAAAAATTAATCAGACCAGACACTTACAGTCTTGCCTTAATCTCCCTAAGCTTATTAATTAGAAAAAAGTATTAGAACAGAAGTGTGTCTTGAAGGCACTGTCAAAGTAGCTCTATGACATCTAAAGTTTAGTACGTGAATGTGCTTAGATGAAACGGTAAATCATTAAATTTAAATCTGCCACTGGGCTCTCATAAAAAACAGCTGAACAGACTTCAATAGAACAACAAAGAGAACTTTATTTATTATTCGAAATGATACCATCTTGTCCTACCTTTTTTCTCTCTGCTAATTCAGCTCATTTAAACAAAACCAATACAGTGGACCCCCGAGATACGAGCTTCCTGGAACACGAGTATTCCATGTTACGAGTCTGCAACTATTACAAGATATTTCCTTGTGATACAAAATATCTGGTTATGAGTGCTCAACCGAGGACTGGCATCCATTCAGTCGTTCGGCGTGGGAAAGCCGCAAGCTCTGATGCCAAAGCAGCTGCCGAGTTCGCTATGAACTTTTAGTCTTTAATAAAATAAAATAAAAAAACTGTAATCCTTCTCCTACGCTAATCGGCCCGACACTCACTGTCCCTCGCTGGGTTATTGTACCCATTTTTATAACAACTGTATAAATATATGTTTTAAACGAGTACAGTTACAGTTGAGGTCATTCCCACCTGCAGCTGTTGTCTCTCAGCCTCTGCTGTGACTGTGAAAGGCTCACAGTGGAGGCTGTTGCCGTCTTCATACTTCTTCTCCCGTTTGAAGGACAGACTGGTTGGAAGTGAGAGAGACACCAGTAGGCCGCAAATCACATTTAAAGACATTAAATTTGAAAAATGTAGTAAAAAAAAACCCAACAACTTGCCTTGCAGCATTCCGTTAGACGATTCATGTTGCTTAGTTTAACTAAGAGTTGTTTATGTTCAGGAGGTGAGAGGGATTTCCTTCCTTTAAAAGAAGCAGTTATTCAATTCCTTTTTCATTATTCTTGTAGAATAGATCTGAGGTAATGGATCCAGTGGCTTCATGTCGCCTGAGGTTTGTCTGCTGTTGGCACTGCTGGATTGGCTCATTGTTGAGGCTGTGGCAATATCAGGAAAGGTGATTTTTTGAATTTTGTAAAAACAGTACTTTTGTAAAAACCAAACTTTATTAGGGATAAAAAAAAAGGACATCTGAACCTTATTGGAAGGATCGTGTCCTAAGACAACAAAACACAGACAAGATATTTATCTTGTGTTTTCAGTTGTGTATATTGCACCTGCATAAGGGAATTATTTCACCTGAGCTTTGTTTCTAGAGTAACTGTGAGACTTCTAAAAACCCTTGCTGTGCTCTTGTATTGGTAGTGAAAGGCAAAGACGACCAACATATGGGAACAGGCCTGTGGTTTATAACATACCTATGAGCTATTCAAACCCAAGTTGTTTACTTTTAAATGGACAGTTATGAACTGATTCAATGTGAATAATATTGGTAACCCACCTACATACAGTACCTACCAAAAAATAGGTACTAGGTCTATATAGATATAAACATATATGTGAATATATATATACTATATGTATGATGTATATATTGTATATCAGTGTTTTCCAAACTTTTTTTGGGGGGACCCATATTTTAAAAATCACAAACCTTTGCGACCCAAGTCATTAGACATTAGACATATTCGTAAACTCCTGGGAAACATGATAGTGGGACGACCCCCCCCCAAAAAAATCCCTTGCGACCCAGTCTTTGGGAAACAATGCTGTATATGATATGTGCAGTACTGACACTTAGGCAGTAATAGGCCAGGTCCACCCCTACAGCAGTATGTGCTGCGCCCTGTGTTTTTTTGTTTTTTTGTTTTTTTAGTGCTATAGTCGTAGAAAGGAGAAAACAATGAAAGCAGTCCCATTGTCCCAGTAGATTGTACTGTATTAATAGTTTCTGTCTGTTCTTTAAACCAAATCGCAGGTGAACCTATAAAAACAAAGATGGATGAAATGAGTTTGATCAATGAGAGTTGGAAGGCTTTACGGAGGTGACAAGCCTTTGTTTAATTATTTATACTTGATTGACTCGAGGGAACTGACAAAGGGAATCCTTGGTTCAGAAATCGACCGCTCGTCTTTGGTTAGTCCAAATTTTACCTTATAGACATTGTACATTTTAGACGATTGTCAGCAGTACTCTGGAACTGCCTGTAGTGGCCCGTGCTATTAAAAGCTAAATTCCCTTGGAGTACTAGTAAATATGACAGTAATGACCACTGTCTGAAGTTGGAAGAACTAGGCCAGTATTATATGTTAAAGGTCCAAGAAAAAGAAAATCAAATGGTTGCCTTTTCATGAAGAACAACAAAACTGGCAAAATAAAATGTCATGTTGTTCTGATAATTCTGGTGGTTACTTGAAGTAGTGATAATGTAATAAACCAGTGTGCCATAGTGAACGAGTCACCCAAAAGGTACAGGTTTTGTAGAATTTTAGAGCCAAGAGCTGCAGTAGCACGCCGCAGACTCATGCTAACAGTTCAGCTATATATGTACACGTGTGTGTGTGTGTGTATGTGAGACTGTCTCAACTCTTATGCAGTCTGGTATTAGTGAGAGTATGTGCGTGTCTGCTTGAATGCCATTTTTGTAATCTCTAAATGAGCTTAGCAGCCTGTATGTTTTCATCCAGGGTTTACTCATTTTCTTTATTACAGCAGCATTGGGATTTTGCAGATTAAATATCATTTAGCTTAAATCTCTCTGCATTGAAAGTGACATGTAGAACTGAAGGGGCTCAGACTGAGGGGACTGTTGAAACATTTTTGAACAGAGCAGTGTATTATCTTCTAATCATTGTATTTGTGAATCATGACAGCAAACCTCCTTTCCTAATTGCTCTTCATTCGTGTACAAAGAGCTCTGAGTTGTTGTGATATGAATCTTCCTCAGTGCTATAGCTCCAGGGTTCAGTGTACAGTACAGCTCCAGTCTCTCTGTTGTGGTTTTCTTGGACTCTTATCAGTTTGTGTCAGCAGGCTTGGTTTTCCTGTTTGCAGACACAGAAGGAGATTTAAACCACATTTTTGTGGGTTTGTGACATAAACAAAGATTATACATAAAACTATTATTATATTATATTATTACTATTATTGCAGCAAAGGTTTTCTTAATTTAATATAACATAAGAATAAAAAAGCAACTTTCAATGATTTCAAAAGTCTAGATATTGAGTTTACTTTTTGATAATCATGTATATGTATATGTATATATATATATACAGTATATACACACACACACACACACACTCATTCATTCATTCATTCCAGACCCCTGAACTACTCTATTTATT